TGCATCGGCAGGCGGACTCTCAACCACTGTGCCACCAGGGAAGCCCCCAAACCTGTTTTGATTTAATTTCAAACTCTTCAACAGCTGGCAGAGTCACAAATTGACTGAAATGAGTTTACTCCTTTACGTGTTATCTCCTCAACCTCAGACAGAGGCCCTAATGAGCAGGGTTTGGATAATGCACAAACAGGAAACTAGTACCTGAATAACTGAATCCTCAAAAGTTTCTAAACCGTGAGAAAATACTTATACTACAATTAAAACATATAACTTATAGAAGCAGTAATTTTTCTACTTGTTGGCTGAAGAGTATACATGTTCAAAGAAACAATCATTAGACTATTTCTATATGGGGCTCAGGCTTGAAAACTCGTAAAAATATTCCACAAGAATAACTTAGAACATTTGGAATCACCCTTTAATCTCTGCTTATACCCCAAGTATACTTAAACAATATTTCCATGTCTTTATTTAAAAGTTTTATGGATTTATTGTGCCTCAAAATACACATTACCAAGATAGTGGACTACCATATTTTTAACTATTTTGCAAATTAAAATTCTGTTTTTTATGGACTTGGCCTTTGTATCTTTCAGATAAAAAAGTATGTTATTGCCATTTCAAGGTGTATAAAACTCAGGTGATGAGGGTCCCTGTCATTTTCTCTTAATCCAAATCCAAACTCGACCTTTAGCCAGTGAACAGGTGTGTGCTGTGCCTGTAATTTATCAGAGTGAGCGACCACGCAGAAAAGCTACCAACAATAGGAGGTTGAAAGAACCAAGCACTTAGTGCCTGGAAAGCAGTTCTTATCCCCACCATGATGAATGTACTTTTATCTCCCAGTAGCAATTTAAAGATAAAGAATGATGGAGGTGAAGGGAGTAATATATTTGTATTCCTTCAGTTTTTCTGGATACTGTTTTTAATACTAATAGTCTTCCAGAAGCTGTTATGTTATAAATTCCTTTCTCAGATATTCTGTTGCTCACATTCCAATCCAACCTATGATATGGATACGAAAACAGTCATGACAGCATTTCCACCAGGGCAAATAAAGCCATTTCACACACACAGATAAATTAAATAAACCTTCAAGAAAAAAGTGATAAATGACTAGTGCATTTCTTTGTATGCAACATGGAAATTCCAATGTCTATCCTGCATCTGTCCTTTTGCACAAATTTAAAACATGTCAAATATCCATTTACTAGGTATGAAGATCCACCAACTGGGTAATACAACAGTACAATAAAAAGAAACAACAGCTAATATTAGAACAATGCCCACAGTCTAATCGGTAATGACTATTCAGCAGGGTAAATCTGACCTCTAGTGAATCTTTACAGTCAGATGAAATCTCTAAATATGCCCTATTAAAAAATTCATAAATATATAAATAAAATGAAATTTATAAATATGTTGTATAGAAAAACATACTTGAATACATAAAATCAAGCAATCACAAATATTTCTATGATTTCCCCATAAAATTAAAATGTAATTTAAAAAATCCTAATACTTCAAAGGTTTTTTTTAACTTTTTTTTTAAGTTAAAAATACTTTGTCGGGTCTGAAAAATAATTTCAAAACATTACTGAAAGGAGACTATCACATCCATTTTTTTAAAAAACAATACAAGATTTTATCAAATTTTCCTTTTTAAACTCACCCATCTGCTCCACAATCTCTGGAGGAAACACCCGGGAAGCAAACGCTCGTCGAAAAATATCTGAGAATTCCTTGTCCAGACCTCCTATTCCCATTTTTTCAAAGTTCCAGTCAGGATTGATAATAGACTGGCGATTTTCCTTGGTTTTAGCTTTGCCTATGTCAAACAAAGATAATCAAATGTGAGACAACAACTTCATCACTAAATGTAAAAAGATAGAACTCCCTGGGTATCCTCAGTGAATAAAGAAAAGCTACTCTTATACAAAGATGAACAACATGCTCTTAGCTGATTTCTGAGAAGGATGAGTTTTGCTATATTCCCTACTTTGTCTGGTCCCCATTTAGGGTCAGTAAAACACTTTCAAAATGACTAGCTAAACTCATGCTGTAGTCAATCTGTAGAGTCTGGTCTTATTAACCTCTAATCCTAACCAAGTTAACTAACTTGGTTGATTAGAAGAAATCAACCATGTGCATGTCTGATGAAGAAAACACCAGTTGCCAGAAATGCAAATGAAATCTAGCAGTCCCTCAAGTCTCCTAGAGCAAGATTTTAAAATACGTATATTTACCTAGACTAAGTATATAACTGGGAATATAACCCCTCAGTCTGAAAAGATGCACTAAGTTTGATGCCTTATTTTTGCTTTTTCTTCATTTGCACACAAAAGTCTAAAATCATCCTAAAGTCTTTCATGATTTCAAAATTCATGTTTTCAAATTCTTTCGCAAATGAAAATTATCTAACTTAAATGTCATAGTGCCCCCTAAAGTAACTCAAGAGAACCACATTAACTATCTCAAACACAAAGAATAGAAGCGCCTTAGTACATTCCACTGTAAACAAAAAAAAGAAAGTAATATTATAGTTTTTTTTAAATTAGGGGATAAAAGGTCCCATTAGAAAAAGTTTAGCCTAGATGCTATTTGTATGGTTAGAGTTTTGTGGACTTAAACATTTCCTTTACGAAGCTATCAAAAATATTTTTCTTATACTCTACTGCCCTCTTGTGGTCAAATTTACTGCATGTTAAATCACTACTCAATTTTACTTCCCAATGGAAAAACAACTATCAATCACACCTTTGCATGAATTACTTAGAAATATCCACATTGTACGAAAGTCATGCGACTCTCTTGGGATAATATGCCTTAACGAAAAGTGTACAGTGTATTATATACAAAGAAATCACTCCAGAAATGTATTGGATCAATAATAGGAGATTATGATATATCCTACATCCATGAAATAATATGTATAGTCATTAAAATTATATTGTAGCAGTATATTTATTAAGATGCTTGAAATATGTTAAGCAAAAAAGAACAAATTATAAAACAGTATGAAAATTAAAAAATTTTAGAGTGTGTTAATTTTGAGTATCCACATTTCATGAGCTAAATATTTTATTTTATAATTAAGAAAAAACAATAAGGGAGGAATGATAATTTATGGATCAAGAGAAAGGCCACATATTCAAAGTTAAATGACTTTGGATATAATGGTGTGCAAATATTGAAAATCATCTACCTTGTACTGGGTTAGACATAACATAGTTAAGTCAACCAAAAAAAAGAATTACTATACAATTAACAGCATCATTATTCTGGTGAGTTACTATTTTTAGAGATCAATCTGCATTATTTTAATATAATAAAAGTAGGGCTAATGTACAAGAGTAGGGCTGAACTATGAATCTGTTGGAAAGATGCTCTTTACCTGCACATTCATCATTTAACTCAATCAGTAATGGATGTGATGATGCTAGTATCACATTTAACACACAACCAGCTGAGGGACATCCTACAAAATAAGTGACCAGCTCTCAAGGTCGTGAAAGACAATGAAAGTCTGAGGAACTGTCAGAGACTGGAGAAGACTATGGAAACTAACCCACTAAACGCAATATGGAATCCCGAGTTAGATCCTGGAACAGAAAAAGGACATAATGAAAAAACTGGTGAAATCCAAATAAAGTCTGTAGTTTAGTTAGTAGCAATGGAACCATGTTAATTTAGTTTTGGAAGCTGTACTATGGTTATTTAAGATCTAACATCAGGGGCTTCCCTGGTGGCACAGTGGTTGAGAATCTGCCTGCCAATGCAGGGGACATGGGTTCGATCCCTGGTCCGGGAAGATTCCACATGCCCCAGAGCAACTAAGCCCGTGTGCCACAACTACTGAGCCTGTGCTCTAGAGTCTGTGAGCCACAACTACTGAGCCCAGGTGCTGCAACTACTGAAGCCCATGCCACATGCCCCAGAGCAACTAAGCCCGTGTGCCACAACTACTGAGCCTGTGCTCTAGAGTCTGTGAGCCACAACTACTGAGCCCAGGTGCTGCAACTACTGAAGCCCATGCCCCTAGAGCTCATGCTCCACAACGAGAGAAGCCACCACAATGAGAAGCCCGCTCACTGCAATGAAGAGTAGCCCCCACTCGCCACAACTAGAGAAAGCCTGCGCGCAGCAACGAAGACCCAACACAGCCAAAATTAAATAAATAAAATAAAATAAAAAGATCTAACATCAGAGGAAGCTGGTGAAGGGTATACAGGAACTTTCTGAACTATTTTTTATGGAACCTCTGTAAGCCTGAACTTATCTCAATATTAAAAGTTTAAAAATTAATTTTATCTATATCTTTTCCCTTATTTTTAATGCAGTTACTAGGAAATTAAAAATGACATACATGGCTCACATTATATTTCCATTGGACAACACTGACCTAGTGAAGATTTTAAATTCTTTTCTATATCATCACATTTGACAGATATGAAACACTCCATGATTTTGTGATAAGCCTTCTCAAGGGAGGTGTCCCTATTCTCCTTCCCTGCTTAAAAATCACTGTAGTTGAGTCACATGTTATAACAGAGATAGTCCCACTTTACTCAGAATCTTCTAAAAACTGTAAATCTTACCAATAAGATTGAGTGATGAATTTTCTGCTTTTTCAAATGCAACTTGACTGTTTCCAACAACCAGTCCTACTTCAATCTGTATAGAAAGACAGCAATTAGTAGTTAGTCTAATAGCAGACTTCTGGACTTCTCAAAGCAAGACAGAAAACAAAGGGGAAATGAGGTCTCTCTGAGCAAAGTAAATCTTCCAAACTATCAGCTAAGTTACATTTACTTCTGTCATAACTACCTTCTATTATTCCTATTTTATTTCAACACATATATTTTTGATAACACCTGTCTTATTATTTATTTACAATAAATATCACTTGCATTCAACCAGAATTACAAGTATATATACAAGTTTCAAATTACTATTAGATCTGCAAATAAGTATATTTTACACTATATTTTAATAAATATGCTGGCTAGAAGAGCAAATTTTTCCCCTACTATCTTAAAAGACAGAGCACATAATATAAAAGAAATCACTGAGGGAGAGAATGGCTAGGAAAATTATATTAATTTGCATAATGCACATCATAAAGATGATTAAAAATAAAACATACCTTTTGTCTTTTACCTGTCGCAGGCTCTCCCTTCAGGATGCTAGGATCCATGGCTTCAATGTCTTTTACCAGTAAGCCAAAAAGTTTTTCATTGAAGCTAAACACAAGCTATGTAGAAAAGAAGTAAGGGGAGAAAAATCACTTCATGATTCAATGGCTTGATTCTCACATCATCATCGTTTTCCAAATGCAGGCAAGCAGCTTTCTCTTGTATATCACCATGAGCAAACTACCCACATAACCAATGAGAGGTAACCACTGGTTACCATAACCAACTAACATTTATTGAGTATCTGCTGTGTGCCAAACAAACATTACAGGAGGTTCTGTAACTAATACAAAGTCTCTTGCAAACAGAAAGTATTCCTCAGTTTTACTAGGAAGGAAGCTGAGATCCAGAGAGGGGCTAAACAATGGGACCTAGAGTCACAGTAAACGACAGTGCCAGGATGCAAGCCTGGGTGTGTGACTCTAAAATAATGGTTTTCTACAACCAATACAAAGTGCCTGCCATTCGAGTGCAGAGACAGCTTCTGAATGGTTATTCATTCACCAAATATTTACTGAGTACCTTCTACAAGCTAGGCCCTCTTCTAGGTACCGGCGTATAAACAAAAATATAATAAACAAGCTGACTGTCAATCCTGCCACTATTAATTACTACGAATAAGAATAAATACTAAGAAAAATGATTTGAAGTAAGATGTTTACTTCTTCTCTGTATTATGGAGGATTTTGTTTCATGGGTTTATAGACATCTGCATGTTACTGGGTTTTAAATTATTACAAATACCAAAGCATTTTCTATTAAAATACAAAAGCTAAAGGAGAAGGTAAAAACAATGAAGTTTAGTCAGGCAATTTGAGCACAACTATCAGTCAAAGTGTAGGAATCCAGAAGGACTATGGTAAAGCCCCCAAAGCAATGGACAGGTAAGTCAACAAATTATCAGCTAATCTCTGCCATCCTGGGGAGCCTTCTCAATCCATCTAATCCAAAGTAGCAGCCCAGTGGCTCTCTAGTGCATCATCCCATTTTACTGACATCAAAGTACTAAACAGTACATGGCATTTCTTATTTTCTGTCTTTCCCAACTAGAAAGTGAGCTCTATGAGGGTAGGAATTCTGTTTATTTTGTTCACTGCAGATCCACAGGGATACTAAAATAGTATGTATTGAACACATTCTAGGTGTTCAATAAGCCTTTAATTAATTAATTGATCAACTGACTAATAGGTTCTTATCTCAGCTACACCCCTGGCTGAGAAGGTCATGGACCTTCGCTGGACCTAAATAAAATTCCTCATTTGCAAAGTGAAGTTAGACAAGATAACCTCTGAGGTTCATTTCAATTCTAGTACTTTTAAAAACAATAATAAATGCTCTACATCCTTTTCCTGTCTACCAGTATTTGAGTTTACACTTGTAAAAGTTTGATATTATGATGTATGGTGTATGTATGTATGTACTCTCAAATCATTAGAGTCTCATTTCTCCAGATAATGACACTCAATCCACTCCCACAGGTCTTTCCTTCTACCACTTCTCTCATTCCCCATCTTACAGACCTTCCCACGTGAGAGACACAGAGACAGTCTATGTAACTCATTACAGATCAGAATTCTATAAGCTGGGATTCTCAAACTTTTTGGTCTCAGGATCCTTTTATATATAAGCCTAAACATTTTTGAGGACCCCCCAAATTTTGTTTATATGGATTATATCTCTTGATAGTCACTGTATTAGAAATTAGAACAAGAAACTTATTTTTCAAAAAACAATTAAGTACATTATGTGTTAATAACATATTTTTAATTTGTTAAAAAAATCCCTCTATTTTCCAAAATAAAAAAATATAAATGGGAAGAGTGGCACTGTGACATTTTTGCAAATCTCTTTAATTTCTTGCTTAATGGAAGACTGCTGGACGCTCATGTCTGCTTCAGCAGTCAGTGTGCTATGCTATACCCATCACACAGTCTACAACACTCCACTGTAGACTTGTGAGAGAATAAGAGGAAAAGGGCACATAACGTCTTGATATTATTATGAAAATAGCTTCCACTTCGCAAACCCCTTGAAAGGGCCTCAGGGACCCCCACAGGTCTCTGGACCACAGTTTGAGAACAGCTGCTACGGAGCTATTGGGAGGAGGAAGGAATTAGGAATGATTAAGAAAAGTCATAGAGAACGAGACAAATGTAATGGTGAGGTCAAAAGAGCAATGATTATTTATGTGTACAAACAGCAATTTATGAACTCATACATTTTTTAACTAAAATTTTAAAAGAACAGAATTTCTTCCTAGGAGGTTAAACAATATGATATTAACTGAAGTCCAAAAAAAGGGAGCAATGTAAATATAATTTTCAAGAAAAGAAAATCTGGGTTTCAAAAGCTCCATGAAAAAAACTAAATATATATATATATACACATACACATACACACACACACAATTTTCTTAAGATTCTCAAAGAAGTTCATAACCAAAAAAGTTAAGAATTACTTTTCTACAGAAATATATCAGTAAAAGAGAAAGACATCCAGAGACAAATGTCCCACAATAAGAAATTTGAGACATGTATGTCTATAGTACTTCCAAATTTACAGAAAGAAAGGCTGCTGTAATTATGTATGACACTGTAACCTAAAAGTTACTTTAGAATTTTTCTGAACAGACTGCTAGAGGTTCAGCAAACATATTTCCCTCACTTTTTATCATTCATCTTAGATATAGCTGTTCACATGCAAAGCTCCTCTCAGTTTTTAAAAAACAGAATTAATTTTCCACAACTGCAGAGATTAGAATGTCTAGAAAAGAAAGAAAATTTAAAACTACCTGTTGTCCCACTGAGAATGCCTGGTTGTTGAACTGCTGAATAAATTCTGCGGCCATCTTGTCAGTATCATAAGGGTTAGAGTCAATACTTTTTTTCTGCAGGAAATCAATCTCGATGGTCATTGTGCCAATACATTGTTTGGCTTTGTCAAATGTATATAAGAACACTAGAGAAAAAAGAAGCATTTTTAAAATCACAGAGACACCAAATACTTGCTGTGCTTCAAGTAACTAAAAGTTTCATATAAATGAATTATAACAGAACTTGACCAAAAGGGGATTTTACATGGCCTTCATTGGAGGGACACATAGGCACAGATTTTTTAAAATAATAATAACCACTAGAGATGTTCTTCCCTCTGACTTAATTAGAATATACTGAACAGCACTCTCCTATACTTCTACCCGTCACCTGACTCTTCTAGGGAAATCACAGCCCTCCCTACACAGCCTCTGCATCTTCCTCCTCCTTATTAAACAGAGGACAAAATGACAGTGGGAAGTCCCAGTGGAGTTGGCAAAACATACTGTTTCCAAACAAGATTTTCGTTTGACACAAGAAAGAGCTAAGGTGAGAGGTGTGTGAGCTCTTTTGCCCTAACAAATTAGAATGTAGGACACACACACACACACACACACACACACACACACACACACAAACCTTGAGGAAAAAAAAAAAAGTTTACTAGAGGGATTTCCTCCAGAGCAAGAGTGTGACATTTCTTTTTTTAATACTACAGAAATATTTACTGAGCACCTATGATATGCAGGGAACTACAATAAGTTCTACATGTATAACAGGACAAAGGCCAGGTTTTTAGCTCTTCTTTGTATTAACAGCACCCAACAGTGTCTGTAGGATGCTTAATATATTCATGAACTGTTTAAATGAAACAACAGCAGCAAAATACCTATCGTCTTCATGCTAATAACAAAGGAGGCAAGACAAAGGGACTTTGGAGTCTGTGTGCTTCAATAGAGTCTGTTAGTAACTAGAAGACTCTCTGTGCCTTGATTTGTCGGTAAAATAAGACTGCCTAGATAAATCTTTATGGTCCTTTCATACTCAATTTCTGTTCTAAACTTATCTCTTATAGTCTAGCCACTTGAAGAATGTAAAAGGATTTTCTGTAAATCCTCTGAATGAAATTGCTTGAGTAATCATATTTTTATATTTTGGTTTGCCATAATAAAGGGGACACACATATTTTAAAGATAAACATTTCAAAAGCAAAATAACAAAGAAAGCCAGAGTGAGGCGTTGGGAAATTCACTGAAGACTGAAGAATAAGTTCAAATCTCAGCTGAAAGTTTCAGAAAACTCTCTGACCTCCACTTCTGGGTGTTTTGTTCTTTAACATTTCCTAGAAAGTACAGGTTACATTCTGAGTAACTTTCATAAGCAAGACAGCTTAGTTGTTTCCCAAATAATGAAGATATTTATGGGATGAAATATTAATGTGAAAAGGAATAAGTTGATTCAGCAATTCCATTTCCGGGTGTCTGTCCCAGAAAGACTCTTGAACATTTGCCTAAAAAGAGATTTACAGGGCTTCCCTGGTGGCGCAGTGGTTAAGAGTCCACCTGCCAATGCAGGGGACACGGGTTC